CCAGGTATGCACTGCAATTTCAGCTGAAAAATTGGACATTCTTAGCCAATATGTTTTGGTGGCCGAAATTTTGGTGCATCCAACACTTATTTCAATAATATATTAAATGTATATACAGGATAATGATAAATCCACATATAAAAGCTGAGCTACAGCAATGGTTTGGTTTGTTGTACCAAAGATGCTAGAACATGATAAAATTGTCCAGAAAAGTTGTCAACACTGGAAAAATAGCACAAATAATGCATTACAGAAAGCAACATAAAAAAATATGCTACATGTTTGTTTTTGGCCATTGCCATGCGTTGGCACCCCATTCAAAATGAATAAGCTGCTTTAGTTCAATGTATTTGCGCTAATGAACAGCAACTGAATGCAGCAGTGAAGTGTATTAAAGCTTAGTTTCCAAACCCAATATTGGATCTCCTGATAGCTTAGAATGCAAATCTGTAGACTCTCCACCCAAAGAAAATAGCTCAATTCTGGACTAAAGCATTTTTGGATTCTGGTGCTGCTGGAAACTTTATTGACCAGATCCTGATAACCAAATACTCATGATACTATTGGGAAGACCCCTTCCAGTATCCTTTGTCACCTGTGTGCAGCATTAACTATGCTACAGATACTCTGACGCTTATTGGTGCCCTCTATCTGGAATTAGTCATAATATTTGTTATTCCCCAATGGGGAACTTCGTTATCCTTAATATACCCCTCCGAATCACACCTAGTTAAGCATCTAGGGAGCTGGTTGTCATTAGAATTGTCTTCTCTGAACCTTGCCCATTGCTTTGCATATGCATACAACTCTGTTACCCTGTGACCCATATTAGTTCAAGAAACAAGCTGAGACTACCTCGTTGTCGTTACCAATGTGCTGTTGTGCTTTTATCTAGTACCTCTCCACCCTGTGGGCAGTTATATTCTCTCTTCCCCAGGCCATCTCTAAAAAGCATATGTGGTGGCCCTAGATTCACTGGGATAGTAATGTAGTGTCAGATCAAACACAATCCCATATATTTAGCCTGGCTGCTAGGACTCAAGAGGTGCATAAGATCCTGCGTGTAATTAAAAATTAACGCAAAAGAAGTGCCTAAGGAAAAACTACTGGTCAAATATGTAAGCCAAAGGCCAAGCCGATATGTCCTTAAATTGCCCTCTTAATTAGAACTACAATATAATATTAGAACCAACTTTATATGTATAAGTAAAACTGATATATTTAACCCCTTCATGACTGAGGCCCTTTTTTCAATTTTTGCACCCATGTTATATTCCACATTTTAGGCCTGAAAATGACGTAAAACCCCCCAACATTATACCATGGGTAATGCTGTTTTTCTGCCAAAGGGTGTTTCAAGGTTAAAGAACACAAATTATTGGTGTGTTGAAACTGCTGTGTTTCTCTGTTTAATTTGAAGTATACATCATGAGTATATGAAGTGGCAAAGCTATTAGATGCGCAGTGGGAAGTGAATAAGGCCACTGATGGTATTACCTGTGGGATTTTGCATAACTTTCTTATTCATATCCAGCAGCTGAAATGCTTATATTTTTTTTGGGGGGGAGCGGATAGAAAAAGAAGAGTTAGATGTTAGTAATGAAAATATGAACAGAATGAAGGAGGAATGGGAGGCTGAAAAGATGGAGACCTCAGAAGTATCTAAACTGAGAAGAGTGTCCTAAATAACAAAGTGTAGCCTTTTGTGATTGGATCATTAAGAGCTGAATTGGTTAACTAGTGAATAATCTGGAGGCAAAACAAAATGCTAATTGAGAATGGGTTAATAGAGGTTAGTGAGATTAGAGAGATGTTGTGCAAAGGTAACAGGTTGTGGATTGTTGGTGTGTTGTTAAAATAAGCAAGAGATGAAGTAAAAGTATAATTGTTAACTGAACATTGCTATTGCAATCTAGACTGCAGGTGTGCCATCAAAATGTCTATGGTGCTCTAGAGTAGGTAAAGTGTGATTAGGTGGGCTAACAAGTAGCCAGTGTTATCCACCGCAGTGTTGTATGTACTGTGAGTGCCTAATTGAACGAGAAGGGTGAGCTTGGAGGAGATTCGTAATATAATTGTTGACATTATGTGGGATGGTGTGAATACTAGAAACTGTATGATTTGGTCAGGCAAGTGTGATATCCACTTAGCTATCATAGTGTTCCAGCTACAGCACACAATCCTCAGCTGTGTTATCTAACATGGTTAAAAGCCAAATTGAAGCCTCCTTATATATTACTGTAATGCAGTTAGGCTGCATATACAGTAATAAAGGTGCTCTTCTTTCTGTTTATTTACACCTTACCTGCACGCTGGAGAGTCAGACCGCTGCTGTCTCACACAAGCAGTAGCCTAGGTCTGCCCAGTCCTATACTCTCACAAGCAGTAGCCCAGTCTGACACTCTTCCCTGCACACTGCTTCAATCAACACCAATGTTCAGGGAGATTGAGCAGTGTTGATTTTAGGCACTTATGAATCCTAATCGACGGCAATTTCATCTAGCACAACGGTGAGATGAGACAAGAATGCCCCAAAAAATGTAGGTGCGAGACAGCAGAAGCGCCCAGGTGGAAGGAATGAAATGATCGTGTTTCTTCAATTTAGACTTTTTTTTATTCCATGAAACACACACATAAATATCACAGTCTAAACTAGTTTTGTGGCTCTAAGATGGCCACTTCTTCAAAAAGGTGTGATGAGACACTTAAAGCAGAGTGGTAGCGTCTCACACACGCCGGTAGATGCTACCACTCTGCTTAAAGTGTCTAATCACACCCTCCTGAAGAAGTGGCCCTCTTAGAGCCACGAGGCACGTTGAGACTGTGATTTGTGGGGCATTCTTCTCTCATCTTTGCAGTACACATTGGGTCCTTCTAGCTGCCGAGCTTTGAATCATCCAAACTCCACCCCGACCAGCATCAAGAGCGACCATCCTGCATGGGGACAGAAATATTCCCTGCACGCCTTTTTTGCACCTTAGGTTGACCGATATCCCCAAGGGGATTTCTCGCAACCTAACTATGTGAGTATCACACTCTTTCTTCTACACTTATTTAACCCCTTCATGACTGAGCTAGTTTTCAGGTTCTGTTCATAAATGACTGACACATTTTTTACATTTTTGCTGTGTGGTTCTTCCACGTCAGTAATATACTTTCTTACTAAATGTACCCACACGTATTATATATTGTTTTTTAGAGGACAGATAGGGCTATATAATTATATCACATATGTGTACCTAACCCCTCACTTAGTTTGAATAAAATAAAAAAAATGAGGAAAAAAACTAGAAGAAAACACTTTTTTCACAAGTTTTGATTATTATTATTTTTTTTAGAATTTTTTTATATTAATTATAGTATAAAAAATATATTTATATACAATTTATATTTTCCTAATTTTGTTTTACACTTTATTTTAATTTTTTTACACTTTGTAAAAAAAATAAAAATAAAATAAAAAAACTTTTTTTTTTCTTGTCAGTTTATATCAAGCAATCACTATGACAGCTTGATAAATTAACTTTTTTATTTTATTTTTGGCTATTAGGCTGATCCAAACTTAGGAACAGCTAATAATAACCTTAGAGACTGATCCTGACTTTAGTCAGATTCAGATCTCACTAAAAGCTCTTTGATCGTGCCTAGACGATCAGAAATGATACATTTCACTAAAAAGATACATTGTATCCTTTCAGTGAAATGTATCTAAACATCGGGCTCTCGAGCTGTCAAAACAAATAGCAGAGAGGTGAGGTGAGTCACTGCTGCCTCTCTGCTATTTTGAGCTGTCAAATACGGGATCGCAAATTGCGGTCCTCTATTTGCATGTAACGGCTTCATTCTTTCATTAATGAAAGGAAGAAGCTTTTACAAAAAGCTTAATTATTTCATTAATTAATGCCTCAATACTGAGACATTAATGAATGACTGTTAAATGCTGAGAATCAGCAAATACCGGCATTACAAAGCCTGATATAACTCGTCACGTACAGTGTACGTGGCCAGTCATATAGGCACAAAGTGACAAGACGTACACTGTACGTCTCCCGTCACGAAGGGGTTAAAACATATTTATAGCTTTGTACTATAAAATACTACACTCAGTCGGATCTCTCCTGGGACTTTTTGTCCTCAATTCTGTTGCTCCTACTGTTGTCTCTCTTTCAAGAGCACAAAGGTTTGAATCCTTCCGAGGATGCTGTCAGCCTGGAGTATTTTAATTCTCCCTGTGTTTCACTGGATTTTCTCAGGGTGTTTCAGTTTTGTCCTACAATCCAGAAACTAACTTTGTATGCGTACGCTACACTGGTCTGCATGCTTTTATTTAAGTGGCAAGAACTGATGTGCATGATTCATTGTATTCTATAAAATAATGTAGAACATAAATAAAACAAATACAACTTTTCCATATAACAGCATGCAAGCAAACCCTTATAAACTATCTTTATAGTCTTTGCCTTAGTGACTATTTTAGTGGTAGACCATTTATTGGAGGTCAAAGGATTGTTCCTGTCTAGATAAAAGATAATAATAATAATATGCTTTACTACATAGTGTGCTTATCCTTACCACATCTCTTACGCTTGCAAGTGGTGCTTTTCAGTCACTACATTTAGAGATTGTCTTTGGTGTAGTGAATTAGTATAGATTTATTGTAAGAATGAGGCTTTATTCATCATCTTCTAATGTTGCTGTTGTTCATCCATTGTATTTTAGTTCATTTGTATTAATTGCCTTCATTAATGAAATTGCCTGCTACTTATTGTAATCAAGTTATAATTTAGTTAATGTTTAGCTTTAATACTAAGCGTAATTTAGGAACTCCATTTTCTAGAATAAGTTGGTCAACTCGCTTAATAAATATGTAATAGTAATATGCACATTATGCAGTACTGTTATGGTATCACGGTCAAGCGTTGACATGTGTTTGGGTAAAAAGAGATGATAAATAATACAACTTTTCCCATATTCACCTGTCTTGTGATTATCTCTTTTAGATCCTCACTGTATCTGGACCACCTGAAGGAGGCACTCTAGTGACAATCCGTGGAGCGAATCTTGGATTGGACTTCTCTGAGATTGCTCACAAGGTGCTGGTAGCTGGAGTACAGTGCACACCAGTGCAGGAGGAATACATTATCGCAGAACAGTGAGTCTTCTATTTAAAAATAAATTGTATAGTATTGACATTATGGTTCTGCAAAAATCAAATGAATTCCCTGCTGTTCACACCTATTCTGCAAGGGGTGAAACTGCAGAGAGTGAATAGCCAAACAGTCGGCTCATCATTTGGTTCAGTCAGAGGAATGGAAAATGTTAATGCAAACCTTTCTTTCCCATCTCGACATTGGGAGTGTGCTTTGCCAAGGGGAGACCCCCAGGAAAAGCACCTTTCCCCATGTCAATGAGGACAAGGGCCTCTTCCGCACAACCCTGACCGGGCTTATTTGCATCTTATAAAGGGGGGCACTCAGATGCCATCCCCCCTTGTGATTGAGGAAAGGGTAGTTGTTACCCCTATATTTCACCAAATAGTAAAGAAAAGTGTAAATAAACACACAACACACAAAGCCTTTATTTAACCTCTTGCCGTCCGCCCGTAGTAAAAAAACGGACGGACGGCACTGACACAAAGCAGTTTTTAACAATTCCTTTATTTGAATGAAAAAAAAGCAAGAAAAAAGTGTCTATGTAATCCATTGTCAATCACGTTGTCCAGCGATGTAATGGCCGCTGACTCACCAGAATAAAAAAAGGCCTGCTGACCCATCCGATGCCACCAAACTCCCACCGCAAAATGACAGCTTTGGCCCAAATGTCAACAAATGGGCAGAGCAAGTTGTGACATTTGTTTACACTCAGGCCAGAGCTGTCATTTTGCGGCAGGAATGTGACGGTGGTGACAGGACTATTTTTCTTTTGGCAAGTTGATGGCCATCGTTCATCGTGATTGACGAGGATCTACAGTACATCACCAGACAATGTGATTGACCTTTGGATTATATAGTAAAGGATTTTTTCAAGGTGTCGTGTGTTTATTCGCTCTTTTCTTTACTATTTCGTGAATGAGTAGGGTTAACAATTTTTCCCCATATTGTGAATAAGGAGGGGATTACTGAAAAATATTACTAAATGTCAAGAGTGTCATTGAAATCTAAATTTCTTAATAAGGAATGGGAAGTCCAGATAGGTGGCAATTATAATAACAGGCAATGACCTAATAGGTGAATGTATGTGACATTTTCATGCTTGAGAAAGAGCCAATAAAGGCTCAAAATGTCACACTGAACAAAACCTTTTACTGCTGATTTTTATATGTTTTGAATAAAGTAGCTATTTTTACATTTGCAAAAACTGTGTGCAGACTACTAATAATTTTTGTGGCTACTATCTGACCCCTGAATACCAAAATGTGTTGTGGTCCTTGTAACTGGGCATTCTAAAGAGGTGTTCATTTTCAACAAGATGTGGGAAACTGTTGGAGACCTGATCATTTGCTGTTTTCAACTATGCCCCTTAGTTTGACTTTGGGAAATCACACACACCCCACAGATGTGTGTGCATACCCAAGTAACGGTTTATGGAGTGTATATGTGTGTGTATATATATATATATATATA